CAATGAAGGCCGCTTTCTCCTCTCTGCTTTCTTTGATTCGTATATCCCAGGCGATTCCGACAATGAAGGCCGGTAAAAGAATCAATATTCTTCAAAGGTTCGATAATTTTTTATAGTAATGAAGACTATCTATTGGATTTTGGACAGCAATGAAGGCTTCCAAAATAAGATCCCTTTGATCTTAAGTTACGACAATAAAGGTCGATGATAAAGATTTTCTCTACTTTTTTTTTTCTTTTTTTTTTTTAACACACCAGCCGAGCCTTTAAAACAAAGGCTGGGCACAGGTTCGGGTTCTGCCTCGGATGAAGGTCGGGTTGGCAAGATCCGAGAAGGTAGAACAGGAGTCGGTGTCTGGTCGGACTCTGCAACCGGCCGTGACTTACTTCTGCCCTAACCAGGCCGCCGCTCTTCCGGGCCAACTCCAATGCCTGCTGCCACGCCGCCGTCCGACTCCACCCTAGCAGTCGAATCCACGCCGCTGAGTCCAACCCGACGCTTGGCCCGTGTCCGTCCCTGCTTTCGATCTGACTCCTCTAGGAAGCTCGTGCGATCGGGACTTCGTGCGGTTCCTGCCGATCGATCGGAAGAGCAGGATCGGGTTCTCGTTCAGCTATCGGGACGGACTTCCGATTGGCTTCGGAAGGGTCTTCCGCACGGACAGTTTCGGACGGGTATGACTGCTCCTTCGTCTCCTTCGTTTCCCTCGTGGCTGTTCGTCTAGGCTCCTTCGACGATAGTTCTAACGGAGTCGAGGCGTCCGTCTGCGGCAGCGATGGGCAGAATCGGCACTTCTGCTTCGGCCTCTTGCAGCGTCAGAAGGTTGGATCGTTCAGCAATGAAGGCCTCCCAACCTGGCTCTGATACCAGGTTATAATTCATAGAATTGGAGAAAGGTAAAAATACCTTCTAATTATTATATGAAATTATCCCTATTTATAGATCTATACAAGATGTCTTAATAAAGAAATAAATAACTTCTAATTGATACATAATTGCCTCAATATAATCCTTCCTAATTCAGCTACCCAAATATAGAAGGATATTGGCGTGATCCAGGTGAGCCTCCCACGGATTCTCATCCTGACCGTGGGATCAAATGCCAATGGATGACTGAGATTTTGACAGACTTGAACCTCTAGAAGCAAAAGGATAAGTCCCCCTATATAGAGGTAATCACAAAGCAAGAGCTACCCTAGCATGAGAAGTTATAGCCACGGGCCTTTGAGATAAGTTTTTCCTGCAATTGGATCAAGGATGTTAGTAATAAGCGGGTGGCCAGGATGGTGCGAGTGATTGTGTGTGAATGGTTCCAACCGAGATGGATGATCTCTAGACCTTAGATGAATCTAGAAGAGCCCTCATGGGGGACTTACTAAGGAAAACGACTCTCGATTTGGCTCGTTGGAACAAGTCACGCTCCCTTATCGCCAGTGCTCCTCCAGGGTGATGTGACAGCTTCAACAAAATTCCTCTGTTGGAACCCATTAAATACCTGCAAGATACCTTATACAGGCATGCACGAGTCACCTTTAGTTCCCGGACACACTTTAACTTTTGAGCCTATGAAATATGAGCACAACTGCTATTGCTACTGCACCATCATACTCAAGAGAGAAATGAATCGACTAATGGCGGATCGAATGTAGTTTTTCCTTAGAACCGCGAGATCAGATATCGAACGGGAGCGAGAAAGAGAAAGAAAGGGGTGAAGGAGGGGAGTCGAAGAAAGCGAGTGAGAGTAAGACCAAGAGAATGAGAAAAGAGGGGCTCAGCATGTCGGCGAGCGATCGAGAAAGGAGGAGCCGGCGAGCAGGTTGGGGCGAGGCATGCGGGCTTAGCGGGAAGCTGTGCGTCGAAGCCAACGAATGAGCAGGGAGCTGAAAGCGATTGAGCGAACACATAGCGAGGGAGGGAGCCCGCGGCGTCATCTCCAACCGAACGCTAAACGAGTGTATGGAGTCGTTCCTTCCTCCAACCGAAAGCGAAAATTTTCTCCTTTAATTGCAGGTGAACAGCTGTTTGCTCAAGTCATTTTCTGCTCACAACCGAAAAAACACTCGAAAGGGAGAGCTATCGTTACCTTCTTAGAAACACCTAAAATAACGTTCGATTGAGCATCACCACGCCATTTTGAAATTTTGCGTTACTTTGCAGTGAAAAATGAAGTTATCGGTTGGAGATGCCCGGACGGGATTTAGGTTCTTATGTGAAATTTTAATTTGTTGTTTAAAGAGTTATTAATAATTATGCTAGAAATTTATTTGTAAAAAAATAAAAAATAAGGAATTATGAAGAGGTTGACAGCAAGTTAACATTAAGTTTTTAACTAAATAAGTTATTATTTTATATGTTATTATAATTTATATCTAAATAAATATTAAGTTTAAAAATAGTAAATAATATATTATAAATTTTAGTTAGAAAATCCTTCAGGGCTTTTAGAGGTAAAGATAAATAATTTTAGTCATTATATATATATTTTTGACAATTTTTCAGCCCGCAACAATAATTTTTTTTTTTTTTTTTTTGGAATTTTTTTTGGGTGGTTTGGGGTTTTTAAAATTTTACAAAGCATTTTTTTTTTTGGCAATTTTTTATGGCTGATTAGGGATATTACAATTATAGCAATGCATTTCTCCAATTATGTTTTCACTTGCTTGCTATATTATGAGTAAGCGGATTACTATGCTGGAAACTCATCCTTATATATGTTATTCTTTACCATAAATTAAATCCACCCAGATGTTTAAGAGAGCCATCTTAAGAGCAGTAAATGAAGTTATGTATGTTTATTTCATATACACATTGGAGGCGAAGATCCTCTTATGTGACGGATTAAATTTTGGCGGATATAATTGTGTGGATGTTGAGACTTAATTGCATTGATATAAATGTTTTTGGTGGATACATATAAGGGCAGAATACCATCATACCGAGGGTGAGCAATTGCCCACACTCAAAATTGAGTTTTATTTATGAGGGGTAATTTTGAAAATCCAGCCCCCTATATAGTATAGTATTCATGCAAGCACAATCACTCATTGTTTCCCCCACGCATGTCGAACGATCGTAAGATGACTTACCCCATGTTGCTTGGACACCATTGGCTCCTGCCACCTACAATTCTGTAAATGCCTGCCCCTAGCTTTTCCCACAACCACCACCAACAACAACAACAACAAGCCTTTATCCCACTATAGGGTTAGCTAAATGAATCCTTTTTCTCCATTGTGTCACGTTAAGTGTCAAATTCACATCGAAATCTAATAAAAAAAAAGGCATTTCTAATATTTTCTAACCGAGTATTTTTAGATCCATACATGTCATGGTTGTTCGACAAATTTTGCGCTGACTGCTTACTGCGTAACGTAAAGTAAAATTGGTTCCACCGTTCGATATGCATGCCTAATGTAGATGATAGGCTATATTTAAATTTGTTGATGCATGCATTACATTGAGCTGTTAAATAGTTAGGTTAAAATAAAAGTAATGATTCATATAAAATATGAATGCACATTAACAAGATTCATATTCATTGTTGTTGGACAAATTTTATACTGGCTATTAATACCTAATGCAATCCTACATTTTTCTCATTCAAGACTTGCGACCTAGCAACAACACTTCAGCAGGTTGAAAAAAAAAAATTCATGATTCTTAGAATATTAATAATTATATTGTTTCAAAAAGATGGTTACAGTTTTCATGAAAGCGTATTCTAATAACATAAAACAAATTACACAACTCACCAGCATCATTTCTATGGCCTTTTGCAGCCCAACCAGCCTTGGAAGACGCTGTGTTCCTTCAGAAAAATCAGAGATATAGTCACAATATGTTCATGAGAGAATGCAACTCGAGACTGTTTGGCCTTCTACCTCCAAAGCCTGGAATAACTCCAAGAGACAACTCTGGAAGTCCTAATAAAGCATCTGGAGTGGATATTCGAGCATGACATCCCTGAAATAATAATACAGAGAAGGAGAGAGAGCTACAGTATCCAAACGGAATTGTACATTATTGCATTAGAATGAAGTAAGGATAGACATAAATATCGACAAACCATAGCCAACTCCAAACCACCTCCTAGAGCAAGTCCATGAATAGCTGCAACTGAAGGTTTTTCAGCATCTGTAAATGGCAGCACAAAATGAATTTTTACTAATAGATTATTACTCATATAGTTATAGACATAAATCATAGTTTCAACGTGAGGACCTTCAATGGTTTTCATAACCAGATCAACAGATACATCAGGCAAAACGGAAAGATCCCCTGCCAAGTCAAAACCAGTACAAAATGTGCATGAAAGATGGATGATGTAGAATTGTTTGCTTCATTATTTTTTGAGTTTTCATACCTGTTTTCTGAACTTCAATAAAGACGCTTATATCAAACCCACCAGAGAACTTGCCAGATTCGCCTAAGAAAACAAAAAGTCTACAGAATTTCAACATTGGTAACCATGATGGAAAAAAGAAGAAAAAAAAAACATAAATGTTCATAAAGAAAAGAGGTCAAACTGGGCGGAATTTGGTTATGTTTCATGGTTCAGCAAGCTAGCGGCACATAATACTATATTAGCTAAGCCGGCTCAATGATATCCTACTACTATGGCAGGTATTAACGGTGCTCTTCAGCCGGTTCGTCCTGTAGTATGGGGAAAGTATATAAAAACTAGAAGATGGTGGGATTAGGCCCATCCTTCAGAATTATGAAAGGTGGACTTGCAACCAGGCCGACCCTCCTAATCATCGTCTAAAAGCAGATATCTCAATGCATGATCCAAGGTATGTTTGGCCAATTTCAAAATTTCTCAATGCGTCACTGTTGCATGGGATTTTTCTCCCGTCGTCACACAATAAATTGTGGATAAATGAAAAGCTTAAGTTAATGGAATTTGGTCAACTGACTGATATTTTTTTAGGATTTACATGACTACAAATGTGGTGCACTCCAATATTTATAGGGGTAGACAGAGAATTTATCATCTTATCATTATATGAAAATTTTGCAAATGTACAAATATATTGAGAGAATTGCACATGATAAATGAGATGTTTATGAGGAAAATTTAGAAATAGAAAAAAACTATGGGAGCTAATCCAATTAAAATTATTCTAATAACATGAGTCAAGCAGTCAAAGGTTACAAAGGTGACTTTCCCATAACTAGAGAAGTCGGTTAAACAATATAATAGGCATGAATTGTGAAAGATACCTTTATGGCGGTACTATGAGCCTTGAGCTATCTAAGTTGCCATCAGATGTTGGTAGATGACTTGTTTGATCATTCTCTTGACATTAGGTGAGGGTAAGCAAATGGTAAAATGAGTGTTGAACATCGGACATCGATGTTGACAAGTGTAGGACAATGTTTGCTCGGAGACCCCGAACTTTGATCAACAATGAATGTTGAAAGACAAGAAAAGATCGGTGGCTAATGAATGTCGAACTTTATTTGTTTATATGCATTAGTGATGGTTAACGAAGAACACTAGAAGTTGAGCGATGTCCAATAATTAGTTTTGTTGTTTTCTTAATATGAAGTTATGGGCTCCGAAAATTCGCACCCGGCCTCTCCGCCACTTTCTTTATCGGGTCGTCGAAGAGAGTTTTAACATTTAGGTTTTGAGGAAAATTTTCAGAAGTCATATTGGATTTTGAATAAGACATTACCTAGATATTTTGCCCTCATTTTGCGAGGATTTTATGATATGAGTTCAGGTTTACTATAAGCGCAAGCCCCTATTGTTAATTACCTCTCTCGGTAACGAGTATCCAGCGTACAGTATACGATTGACTCGATCATTCTTCTAATAGTATGGGAGATTAGGTAATTGATAAAATAGGAGTCTAACATCAATGACTAACAAATACCAGAGGCCAATGTCATGCGTCAAAATGAAAATATATGAAAGATAATATTGAGCAATTTACAAGTAAAGCTAAAAAAATACTCCATATAAAATTATGGCACTAGATCAATATGACACAAATCATTAAGAAAATGCTTCATTCAAAATAATTTTAAATTTAAAAATGGTTTTGTTTTTTTCACCAAAAATCGATATAGATATGTCTCACTCTTAGATCACATAACTTGAATCATAAGCAAAAATCAAGAAAATCTCATTTTAAAGTGTGAATTTATTTGGGAAATTTGGGATTATTGGGCCCTTCAATCATTCAATAAATTGCGTTTCAGCTCAAGTTAGGAGCCGGGTCAGCCGGGTCAAAAGCTGACTTGCCTATACTTATAATATTAAACAACCCCGGGCGTGATTGAAATCTGGAATAAATAAAACCAAAGCAAAACCGGTATCACATCAATCAACGTCGAAAGCAGTATCAGTTTTGTAAGTAATGTATTATAATGTTATGCATATAATCGCCAAAAATAAAAAATAATAATAAATAAACGACCAAAAAAAACATAAAATTTTAAAAAGAAAAAAAATCACAGGATCGCAACGACCATAGAAATTCACCAGTTAACACGATCGCCTTGACATCCCTCCGACTCATCGCTTCTGCATACTTCTCCTTCAATCCGGCAATAACTGTGAAGAAGCAAACAGATAATGCACGATAACTGCTCGACAAAAGCCCTCATTAAGGAAAAACAAAAGAGAGAAATCTGACGAGCGATCACGAAAAATAGTACCGGCGGGGGCAAGCGCGTTGACTGGAGGATTCGACATGGTGATGATGGCGACCCCATCACTTCCGATCTTCATCGATACGGTAGCCTTCGACATGGGTTCTCCGATCAGAGATCACAGGCAGCGGACAATCGCTTACAAGCAACGCCTGAGTGGGGAACAGTATATATACTCCCGAGCGGTTACGAGCAACGACTGAGGGGGAACAGTATATATATATTCCCTTTGGGATTGCGATAACTTTTTTTATTGATTTTTTAAATATTATTTTTAATAAAAGTTTCTGATTTTAAAAAATTTTGCACTAAAAAATTCTTTTATGAGCTACTAATCTTTTTGAGGTATAATAATAATAATAATAATCTAAAAGAAATATAATATATTTAAAAAATTCATCATTCCTCGCAATTAAAGAAGATTATTTTATATTACCGATAATTAATTGAATTTCATTGTTAGGATTACAGAAATATGGCGTTATGTGCAGACGCCAAACGTGTCCAAAGACTAATCAGAATGAGCCACGTCACCCCCGCTCTATACCGCGGCTCAGTACCATGCTTGATATCGCTCGGTACCGCTGACGTGATGCATTTTGTTTAGTCTCTAGACAGTGAAATACGTTTTGCGTCCGTACATAATAATTTCTTCTACAAGCAGAAAGTTAGAACCCAACAATAACGTTAACTGTTGATAGAAGCACAATGATGATAGTGATGATTATTGGTGGTGGTTCTCAGTGGTAATAGGTGAAAAATGCATGATAGCTTTTTAATTGTCTCAACTCTTTAACCTTTTTCGTGTAGAGAATAATGCCCTTTTTATAACCTTTTTGAGATGAGTATTTTAATAAATTTTGCCATAATATAAAATACTCTATCATCCAGTATTTATTGATCTCCTTCATCATAGATCATTTATCAAATATTTGAATGTCTTGATAAAATAAAAATTGAATGATCTTGGACTTGTTAGATTCGTCTTGTTGAGCTGCTCCATTTGACTATAAAAAAACTATAATTGGATTCCATTTGATCCATCAATTTACATATAAAATCTTTCAAATATAATTCAAGTGCTTTATTTGAGCTTATTTAAAGTCGAATCGGATCACTTGTAACATTGATAAATTTGTCTCATCAAGACATGCATTCATTTTGACTATAATTAATTTGCTAAAATTGGAATTCAAATAATCTTAAATTTAATACAAAAATTTTTTAATTTAAATATTACATCAAAATTCATGTCAATGATATAAATTTTCTAGAATCATATTAAAGAAAAAGTATATTAGGTATTCCAAAGACTACAGTAATAGCAGGTTCATGATGAAGAGAATTAAGTTGAAGTCTTTTATTATAGGTGGGTTCTTAGTGAAAGTTAGTTGGCAGTACCAAAGTCCAAATTTGTGAGCTATTTTCCATTCATTACTCTGACGACTTTAGAACCAAAACTCCCTTCTTTTCAAAAGAGTAGGTATTCATTAATGTGTGGATTAGACCTGTCAATATTGGACCCGACCCGAAAATCCGATCCGAACCCGACCCGGAATTTTCGGGTTTGGGTTGACCCGAACCCGAAGCGGGTCCGGAAATAACGCCGTAAACTTTACGTCGCATCATTCCGCCGGAACCTGCGCCGTCAATGCCGGCGCAAAAATATCTGCCGGAAATTCCGACGGTAATCGCGTGTTTTCCCGTAGTGGAGGCCGGCGAGGCCAGTTCCTCCGCTGCCCAGTGCCCGCTGCAGCGCTGCCCGCCAGCTCCTCTGTCCAGTGTCCGCGCAGGCGCGCCGCGTGCAATGTCCCGAGACGGCGAAACTCCCGAAGCGGCGAGGCCAGGCCAGCTGTTACGCGTTCCGTCCCGAGGCGGCGAGGCCAGTTCGGCGTTCCGTCCCGCGGCTACGCGGGTCGGGTCGGGTTGACCCGAACCCGAAGCGGGGCGGGGTCGGGTCCAGAAAATTGACCCGTTTGCAAAACCGGGTCGGGTCAACCCGAACCCGAATAATACCGGGTTAGTTTCGGGTTCGGGTCAACCCGACCCGTAACCCAAAAATGACAGGTCTAGTGTGGATGTTCACATTACCTTCAATAAAGATTTTTTTTTTAAAAGGTTTAATAGGCTTTATGATAGTACTTGCAGCCATGGATGAGTCCCAATGCTGAATATTAGATGAGGGGGGCCCTTGAGTTGTAACTTGTCGCTGTGACCTAAGATGTTTCCAAGAGAAATAGTGTGATGACGGAGTTGAAGTCCGCCTGAAAAGAATCAGGGGTTGCCTAAGTTGAATTTGCTCTGGAGGAGATTTCAATATGATATTTATTGATTATACTTGATATATCATAAAAAATTATCTTGATCGGACACGAAACTCGAGGCAAAATTAAGCCGAGAACTTCAAAAATTAAATTCGGGATCACTTGAACTCCAATTTCAGCAAACTTATAGTCAAACTGAGCGTCTCAAAAATACAAACTCAACGACACCAAAATCGACTCAATCCGAGCCCAAATGAGTCCAAATCAAGCACCCGAAACGCTATTGGAAAGATCAAACCACAATTTGAGTTACCAAACGGTTTTTAAATATGACGTTCTTATAATCGAATCGAGCGGCTCGACGAGACGAATCCAACGAGCCCAAGATCACCGAATTCTGACATTATTAAGACCTTCAAATGTCTGACGAATGGTACACAATCAAAGGATTCAATATCGGTCGTCCATCTGACCATTCCCTATTTACCCCTGATCTCTCACCTATTTACAAGTAATGCCACTCCATAATATCTATAAATAGACCCCTCATTTCTCATGAGAGGGGACCCAAGCAAGAAGAAGAAGAGAAGAAGGAGAAGAGAAGATAAAAAGATTAGGAGGGAAGAAATTCCTCCTCGACCACCAACGCAGGAATTCTGCCCGACGCCCAACTGACCATGGAATGCTGCTCGACACCGGAATGCTGCCTGACTTCAGAATTATGCTCGACGCCCGACCGACGTTGGAATTCTGCCCGACGCCCAAGTGACGCCGGAATTCTACCCGACGCCCGAGTAACGCCGAAATTTTGTTCGACTCCCAAGTGACGCGAGAATTCTGCCCGACGCCCAAGTGATGCTGGATCTCTGCCCGATTCCCAAGTAACGCCGGAATTCTAAGTGACTCTGAATTCAGCTCAAATACGCTACTTGTTTGTAATCGGATTTCAATCCGGAAGTGAAGCATTGTAATCTGATCGTCCTAATTTTTAAGGACGAGTCAGCATCTTGTACCTCAAACAAACACTAGTGGAATTATTTCAAATAGGCATGGCCCCATGATTTTTTCCCTTTCTAGGGTTTTCCACGTAAAAATCCTGGTGTTATTTCTCTAGCTTCTATTTGTGTGCTAGATATTCTTACAACGCTGAGACGAAATTTTTTTTAATTCTATCGTCTCGTATATTCTAGTCCGCAACAATACTATTTATGTGCATCTTTGACTGATTAAAATATCTATGTTAGATTCAAATTTATTGGTGGATGATACTTGATCTTAGCTGACGAATTTTGTGAGGTCCGGCTCTAAAACCCATGTGAGAATAGTGAGAAAGTAATACGCTAGAGAAAATTTACATAGAAATGCTGAAGAGACTCGAAATATCACTCTTTCAAAACATTCAAAAAAATTTTTGGGGATCCAAAGACTACATCATGAAAGAATAAAAAGTACACGGAAGTTTAAGATTTTTTAATATAGTTTGTCTCAGGAAAATTATTACGTCCGAACAAAAAATCAGAAATTCAGACGAATACCGAGCGATACCGAGTGTTCGGTACCGAGCACCCAAATGACGTGTCACTCTGTTATTAGTCTCTGGACGCGTTCGCTGTCTTAGACACATATCTTCTCCCGACTACCTGCTAGGCACCTATGAAGATATAATTCAAATAAACTTTTTAAACTTATAGAATTGTTTAATTATTACATATGAGACTTAAGCTTCGTTTGGGACGGCTTTCTTATTGCTTCATGAAGCATTTTTTTTAGTACAAAATTAAATTAAAACTTTTGTACTAAAAAGCTGCTTCATGAAGCAGTAAGAAAGCCATCCCTTAGGCTTCATTTGCGACAATTTTTCTATTGCTTTATAAAACAACTTTCTAATAAAAACAAATTAAGTTTTAAAATTTTTTGGTTTAAAAAACTGCTTTAAGAATTAGTAAGAAAGCCGTTCCAAACAAAGCCTTAGATTAACTCGAAATGTTTTTTTTAGGGATTTTTACATACATAACATCTAAAACTATTGAAAATATATATTTAACACATAAACTTCTATATTTGCTAATATGCCACGTAAAACCCCTCTTTTAATCAATTATAACATTCCGCTTAAACCTTTCGTCAAAAATCACTATCAACGACTGTCTTCATCGTCAATGGCATACTTTCATAGTGAATACAAGTACCTCGTTGCTTCAATGGAGTGGTAGAATAGAAGGAAAATTGAATTTTATGTGGTATATTAGTAAATATAAAGTTTAGACGTTAAATATATATTTTCAATAATTTTAGATGTTATGTACGTAAATATCTCTTTTTTTCAAGGATAACAATGAATCTTTAAAATAAAGCTACAAAATTTCATCCAAAATCAATCTACTAAGCAAAATATTCTAAATTTGCTTGCTTTTAAACATTATTGACTCTCGTGTTTTCTTTATTGACTAATATTTGGGTTGCTTGATTGACTGAGTAAGTTGCTTGACTATGTTGGCAGGATAGAAAGGAATTTCTGGCTTTTGGTCAAAGAATATTATCTTTAATAAATAGCATGTGGAATAATAGTGTGGCTTACTAATAAAAAAATGTTCATTTTTTAAGAGCTTAATTACTGATTATTTTCCAAATAATAAAAAAAATATATATATTTCTAACAAATTAAGAGTTCAAATGATATATTTTATAATTTATTATTCATCATTAAAAAAAAAAAGATTTTTCAAAATAAAAATCATTATTTCCACCCTTAAAATTAAGTACAGGCCAAAATTTGTCTGATTCAAATATTATTTTGTCATTGATAGAAAAAAAAAATCATAAATTTCATTAGGGGAATACAGAGTAAGAAAAAATGGTAGTATAAAAGAAATGCAAAATATTTGAAATATTTTAAAATTATTTGAATAAGTGTAAA